CTTATGAATGATTTTAGTTGATTGTTCATATTGAATTTTATTTAATTCACTGTTAATACTTCTGACTGGCTTCAGATTCTTTCCATTTACAGTTGAAAGTGTGTAGCTAATTTTGACAAAATTAATCGTCTATCTTCATTATACCATTTTAATTAATATTATTTATGTGTACTATATAAAACATATTACAGGTCGGTAATTCTAATGTTAAGTATTTGGCATACCTATTTGAATTCTGGAAAATAATACTATTAGATGATGACATCTGTGCTGTTACTGAAAGTTGGCTTATCTTTGGAGCTACACATAAGGTTTATTAGATGACTTCAATTTTATCTGTTACTCGTGCAATCACCTACATAAATGTTGTTTAAATCTTGCAGTGTCCTAAATACTACTTTTAGACAACTATACCTTGGCTTTATCAATGTTGTACTCTTCAAAATAAATCCATCATGGACCAAACGTCTTCGCCATTTTCTTTTCCCATGAACCACTCCTTACACACTCACAGTCTCAAACACGAGAGATATTCCATTCATGCCTGAATTCGTAATAAATCTTCTACCATTACGGAGGGGCTGGTCGGGCCGCGAGTTTCTCAACGTCGAAACGAGTTTTATTAACTTCCTCGGCCCCGTCCCAAAGCACACCGGTACGTCAGGGATACGTTACACCTTTGCGATGGTGTAGACATACGGAGTGGAGAAGTTAGACATTTTACCCGTGTGCGCTCGACATAAGAGAGATTACAATAAATTGCACGCACCCTTCTCGAAATACAAGACGACCATTGATATAGGAACGGCGGACGAAATTTGAAGAGATTCCAACTCACGATACTGTGTTCCCTTTTTTCTTTCTTTCTCTTCTTTTTCCTGTTTTTATTCTGTCTCTTTTCTTTTTTGTTTGCTTCAGCGTTGTCGTCACGTTTTTGGGCGTGACATATCGTGACAGTCTCCATTTTCGCACTTTTTCTTCGGTTCATCGATTAAGATCCATAGCAAGGTTACAGTAGATGCAACGAAGCTGAGAGATTTAGGGGAAACGACAAATAATACCATGCAAAAGTTTCTTTTTCGATAGAATTTTAAAAAACTCGTTCCCAAGAAAAAACCTTGTTAAAAGAATGATAAAGATCTGTTACATGAATGAAATATAGGAAATGTTGTGTTATCATCAAGTAGAGTATACATATCATATTAGTCAAAGCTAGCAAATTCTCAATTTCATCCTAGTTCTAGGTTCAACTGATACGATATCAAATTACTCAATCCCGTCAAAACGATCAGTCAAATATCATCGTTGATCTACACTCATCACCCTCAAGAAATCAAACTTGGTTCCACACTGAACGGTCGATCCTTCTTTTTACCCCTCGTGAAACGCGACTTTCAAATACACCCCCGTCAGCAATGAGGTTCCCCTCGGTTTCAAGGACGCGGCAAATACGCACTTCGTTACGCCAGCTCCGTTGCAAAGGATACAGGACAGTAGCGTGAAGTCGCCCCCGTGGCGTCGAGCAAAAGAGTGGTTTCCAGCTGGAGGCGAAGGGTCACCGGCAAAGAATGATATTTTAATAACTGTCTCGTAATCCGTCCGACTATGGTGTTCATGATATCACGTGGAGAAAGGCTTCTCCTTCAACGTGGAATTTTCTATTGGTCGCAGCCAGCGGCTACATTAACACCAGCCATGCGATATTGCATTCCTTTCCTCTGACGACGTCGATCATCATTAATATCATTTTCAACAGCGTTGGAATTCATGCTGGAGGTCACGTGCTCGATCAATAGGCGGGTGTGAATTATTAAGGGCTCTTACTGGTCGTTCTTGGCAATATTTTGGATGGAAGGGTATTTTTATACCTCTCTTTCGCTATCAAGATGCTATGTTCGAATGGATTCTTGAAGTAACGTCTTAGTCGCTTGTAGATCCTTCAAAATATCATAAACTTAATGGAAATAATCGACATATTGAATAGAAATATTAATGATAAAAATATTAATCGTTTCGTAAATCTTCTGATATATTAGACGCATTATTACCAACTTACCGGAGAAAATTGTCCTCCTACGTTCTACCGTACTTCAATTTGCTTGTGCACGTGTACAGCCATAGTTGAAGAGTATTGGAGTGACTTGCGGAGACTTCAACGCGGTCAGTTTTGACTCTTTAAAATTTCTTCAATCCGTCGTTATCGAACCGCTCGAAACTTGTATTTCTGCAGGGACGATTGAGTTCAAGCGAAACGGAAAACTATAATTCGACTCGTTTATTTCTTGCACGAAGATCGTTATGGCCCTCGTTACCGGAAATGTTGAGAAAGTATCGGAAACTATTATCGACGACCTTCGACAGGGTTTATTGATCGTCTTTTTCTCGATTTTCTTCTGCTCTGTAAAAAAGGCAGAAGTTATTTCTTACATTAAAAATTTTCGAGGAATTTTTAGAGATTTTAAGAGACAGTAATGTAACTAATTCTCACAGTAAACACTAAACACTAAATGTTCACAATTTGATAATATTAAAGATTATATTCTAATTATTGTATAATTTGATTTTAAGATTTGTTCAACTACAACTTATTACACAATTTCTGAACATTTTTTTCAACATTTACATTAAATTTTAAGTAATTATCGTTTCAAATAACGGAATTAAAGGACTTTACCTTGAAAAAAACATATCGTTACCCTCGGACAATTTTCTCACAAGCGAACCTTTACCGAGAAACATCCTACCGATCTGGAACCTTTAAAACTATCGTCACAGACAACTACCTCGCGTGAATAGCGAAAAAGCAGCGATTCTTTCCATTCAACGGCGCTCGACGAACCCATCTGTTCCCCTCTTGGCCAGCTCCTTTCTTTTAATCCCTGTTTCATTAATAGTTCCCCGGTAATTCGAGCCCACTTCAGTTCCGTTCACCTCGAATTACTACCGACGGATTCCACAGTAACTTCCGATGAAAAAGATTTCCGAAATACACGTTCCGTAATCTCACTTTCTCTTCTCTTTCTCCATTGGCGGAGGAAACAATCGTCAATCTGTTGCTGAATTTCTTCAAATTAACCTAAAAAATTAAATTCGAATTCTTATACTACAAAATTAATTACAGAATATACATCAGAATATTTCTTAAAAGATACTTACAACATCATATTATCGTGATTAAATTATCGAGTATAAACTATTACGTGTAATTGTATTTTAGACAATAAAGTTTAAAAAATATTAGGTTAGTACATATAACATGTCGAGTTTGACTGTTTGGTTATTAATTATGGTACCAATCATGTTCAAAGACAATATGTAATGTTAAAACAATTTGTAATAGAAGTATTAGAATCTTATCTTAATCAGAATCGTTTCGAATATCGCGCGCATTTCACATTCGGTGCTACAGCAGTGCCATCTCTGTTTAATTTAGCGATAAATATGTACTTACAATTACAGCCGTGTTTTGACTTTTGTTACGCTAGTAGTATATACGCTACAATGATATTAGAATGTAAATTAGAATCCAACATAATTACCAAAATCTAATATAATTTCAATTTTCTAAAAAAGCTACATTAATTCCGCATTGCAATAAATCGTGTATATCACAAAACTAATCCAACTTGACATTTTCGATAGGCGACACAGAAATTTAATTAAATACCACAAATCGAGAAACCTCCAATCCTTGATCTTGCACCAAATAATTACGACAATCCTACATCACATCACTACACCCTGCACTCGTCTCTTAAATTATATAATACCAGCTTCAAGAGTACCGTTATAACATGCGGGGGCGTATGCACGTGCACGGCCATTGAGTCCTCGTTAGTGCGTGAAAGAATCCCAGAGGGGGTGCGTTGCCCGTTGAAGAAAGTCTACTGCGGCTGACCGCTCGTTAAAAAGTTTAACCGGCCGTTTATTAGCAAAACAGAGAGGGAACGAGCAAGAACGGGAGAAAAGAGTAATATATAGGGCGAGGAAATGTAGCTTCCAGCCTGACGTTTCATTCGACGACTACTCCCCGGTCTCTCTTTCACTTCCCTCGTTGCTGTTCCACGGGTTAATTCTTGACGCGCACGCTTTCGATAACAAGGTTGGTTCGAGTGGCTCTCCCAAGCCCGGGGTTTGCTTGCCCCGAGCAACTATATCGAGTGTTCCGCTGTTTAACTTAATTGCCGCTAGCTGCTACTTCGCTGTTGCTCTCTTTTTTCGTAGAGGGCAGGTTCGTCGCTTAGTGTAATTTATTCTGGATAAGTGGAATTTGATTCGATTTTTAAAAATATTGTTGAATAATCGGTTTATATGATTTATTGCTTGTTAGGAATATTGAATTAATCTAAATGTCTCTTCCTTTATTGTTTATTAAACATTATGATTCTTTTACAGTAGTTTAGTTTTACAGATATGAATGATTTTAGTTCAAATTGCAGCGAGTAATTGACAATTTACAATTTATACACGTTCATATTGAAATTTATACACGTTACATACTTGTAGTTATAACACTTTCTACATGTCTTACACTGTAAGAAATTAGAAACTATCATTCAATTATCATTCAACATCTCTCTATTTCTACCAAACTGTCTAGCCTACTTCTTGATCTGCTATTTATCATTAATCATTCTTCAATTCTATAGTTCCAGTAATTATTATTCACTATATTTTTTTATACTAACACTACCTAACGACATATCGTTACACGCTCACCATCGACTGGTTCAAACGGTCCGATATGGATGTCAGCGGGTGGTAAATATGTGCGGGGCTCACAATAAAAGATGCACAACGTTTTTTCAAGGGTGTCAAGGATTCGTAAGAGTCAATTCGGCGTGCGTCGTAGAACAATGTAAAGTGTTTGCTCGCTGGAGAATTTCATAGGTATTGTGCGTATTAATACGCGCTTTTGCTTTTCTTTTCTTTTCTTTCTTTATTTCTTTTTTTTTCTTTCTTTATTTCGCAAGCGAACGATATGCCCTGTTTTGTTCCAGGCACAAAGAGGTCGAGAATCTCTGAGAGCACTACGGGAACAATGCTTTCCACGAGCGACACCGGTAACGAAGACGACCGTGACTCCGACTCCGGTGGAGAACTTCTTGCTGACCGTTCATTGGGTAAGGTTCCATATACTCTCGAACTTGGATTACTCCTCATATTAAACCGTAATTAACGATTGAGGTTCATACCATAAATTCCAATTCTGGCCTGGAATAAATTAAAATAAATATTATAATCTAATACTGTTAAAAATAATTGAATTTGCTGACAACTTACCTTTATTTGTCTAATAGAAGACTTTTATTTTTAATTATCATCATGATGATCCATGCCACATAAGATGTATTACATATCTCTCAAATTTCTTGCAAAAATTGTATCACTGATGATGAGGTGTTACATAACAACAAATTATAATATTACACGAATATTATATATAATAGCTTAATACTTTATCTGTTGTAATAGTTCCGACGTCGATCGGTCTGACGGACAATGAAGCAACGCGTAAACGGTCGAACAGCCTAAACGACTCCGAGGAAGGAAGTCCGGAGCCAGGTTCCCAAAGTCCGACGCATACGCCACCACTGACGCCTGCATTGACGCCGCAAAGAGAAGATACGCCGGCGCCAGAGAATCTTAGCCTCCGCAAAAGCGGAAGCCCTCAGCAAACGCAGCAAACCCTTCAACCAGTGGATCTAGTGCAGCCTAGACCTAGTCCTCCACTACCTTCCTTGGCGGTAGGTTTCTTATTTTAAACCTTTTACAACTATAAATCGGTATGTAGCTTTCTAACGGAATGAAACAAAAAGAAGCTACAGATCGGAAAACGATTTATGAGTTATCTGATAGCCAAAAGCTGCACGTTTTGCAATATTTTCTGTATATACATTACACACTTAACGTAAACTAATTAACTCGATATTTCACAATTTTTTACATCTACGTATCCCGGGCTTAATTCGAGTTATTTAACTTCTGTTTTGTAGTACCTTGTAGAATAACTCTCGCAATAGGGTCATGGTAAATTTTTGTTTCAAGCGAAGATAGAGAAACATCATAGGAAAAAAGTTTTGCATTGCATAACTAATTACAATTCCTGTGATATATCTCATTTTTGTAAATTATATTCAAAGTTATGTTGCCAGATCCAATGACCCAATTGCTCCAATTATCCTATAGATTACTTTTCGGAACACGATGTTCAATCATTTGAAGACAAATGATTTATTCAATGAAATCTTCTGTTTTAAACGATTTAAAATTTATGTTTCTTAATGACACAAAATAAATCTGTAAAAAATAATAAATATCTATAAAAAATAAATATTAATATACCTAGTAAGTAGTAAGTAGTAAGAGAACGAACTGCAGGTAAAATAACGATTACCATCTCATTTCCAGGCTGCAGCAACGGCGGTGCACTTTCCACCGTACGCTCCCCTCTACGGTCCAGCAGCAAGTTCGCTATACTGTTCACCAGCACTGTACCAACATCAGCACCACCATCATATACCAGAGCCTCGCGAAATTCAGATGCAGATGCAGATGCAGAACATTCAGCAGACCTGTGGTCTCCAGTTACAGCAACAGCAACAGCAACAGCAGCAACAACGATCACCTGTAGATGTTCTACTGCGAGTATTTCCCGGAAGACGTCGCGCAGACGTGGAGGCTCTGTTGCACCGGTGCAAAGGTAGGCTCTGCAATCCGATATCCGCAACCATTATTCGCGGACAGAACTCGATCCATCCGTCTACGGCCGGTCCTCTATACCCAGATATTGCTGGGTGGACACGTGGCCACGAGGCAATTCTAGAGGATTCGGCCCTAGTATTCTCAAGTTTCTATTACAGCCCTCGGCCGAGTTTCAACCCCTTCGGTCACGAGATTCGCGGTAACATTTGTGAATTGAACTCTGGGAGGGATTACAGATTCTTGGAATTTTGAATAGTATTAAGAAGGAGTAACGAGTAAAAATGTCAAATATAGTTTTGGGCTTCTTGAATGTAGAAAGCCTGAAAATGAATTATAGATATTCAATTGATTCTTTGGACTATGTTATAAAGAAGCGCCTAACAATAATTAGTTCTACTCTCGTCTAATAATAGATATTTCGAACATGGACTTAACATCCGATACCAAGTCAAGCGTAATTCATGTTACGTTATGTTATGCAAGAAGAATACAAAACTTTGAGTGTATAAGGGGAGAGACGGGTGTGCCTACCTGACCGATAGCGACGTTGTTCTTTCAATAATCATTTACTTTAATCTCCTCCTGATTATTTCTTGTTACCGAAGGGTTTGAAATCCCACTCTCAAAATTTCTTATGGGATGAACAGAATAATTGAATCTTAAGTACTGTAGTGTGCGATATCTTTAATTAAGCATGCTTTATATTCCTTTACTTTTCACTATCTATTAATCCAATTTATCGGGTGCTACAAAAAGAAAAGATATGAGTAAATAAATAAAAAACAAGAGAAAATAAAAAAAAGAAAAGAAAAATAAACAAAAAAAAAGTAGTAGTCAGGAGAATTGGAAAATGGCATAGTGTCTGTGTCGCAGGCGACGTGGTGTCTGCTATGGAAGTGCTGGTCTGCGAGGACAGTCTCCAGCCGAAGTCAGCGTTCTCGCCCCTGGCGGGCGCGTTGGCGTCGGCCGCGGCCGCGTCCGCCTCGGTCTCAGCGGCGTACGCGAGCCGCGCCGCTTACTGCACCACTCCCATCCCGTCGACCAGGCACAGGTTTCTGGCTGCGCCTTACGCAGGCACCGGCTACCTGCCCACGGTGATCAAGCCACCCAATCAGAGCCTGCACGCGAACGGGACAGGCGACGCCTATCGGGAGACCAGTCCCGACGACGCCAGCGACAAGACAAGCTACTCCGAGTGACCGGACGACGCGCAGACCGCCACCTGGTCTTACCTGCAATAGCCTAGGGACGACGAGGGGAGGGACGGAAGGAGGGGCTGTGGAAATGGCGGCGTGTCCACGGGAACCATGAAACGATTTCTTGAAGAGGATCGGGACACGTCCTATGGATCAAAAGGGTTTCCGCGGATTTCTTGGGAACATGAGGAATAGAAGAGTGTTTAAGGGGACATGGTGAATGGTTCGAAGTCATTGTGATATGGAGGGTTTGGAGCTCCCGTATAGGAAACGTTGATGTGGTAGAAGTATGAAGCAGATGAGATCCTTGAGGACTTGGAGCCATGGTATGTACGGTTTCATGAAGAAGAATCGACATCATCCTGTTGATCAAATGAGTTACCATTAGAAGTGTTTGTAACGAAGTGTTTGTAATGAAGAGACGAATAGTAAGAATTGTTAGTGAATTATCGAAGATAAGAACGTAAGCATTGGTGGTCTGCTCTAACCTACGAATGTAGTTGCCCGAGAAAGGTCCAAAGAAGAAACCCGTCAGCAGCCTTCACAAACGCATCTCACTGAGGAAACATAACACGTTTAAAAAAAAAATATCGCAGACGTATCGCATAGTATATTATTTGAAAAAAAATACAAAAATAAAAATACCTATAAAGAAATCAAACATGGCGAGAAGAAAAAACGTCACTATTCCTTAGTGCGTTAACCACGGCGAAGAATGTCCCTAGACCCTTTCCATCACGTGGTGCGGACGCCGTTAGAGAATTTCCAGTTCCAGAGAGTGTTTCTGTCTAATGTTTCCGAAGATTTCTGAAACAGTGTGGCCAGTAATCCGCGAATATATGACTCATGCCGATCCGTCTCCTTCGTAGCATTCTGTGAACGTATACCAAGGGAAACGGACAAATCATAATGAAAAATCGAAAAGTCAGCCGCGTCGTTCTCGACGAAAGGCTACTTCCTTGTAACTATATAGCTTTATACATGTGTAGATAAAGCGACTTAACAAAGTATGCGTGTAGGTAACGTTTGCGAGAAAGAGAGAGGAAGATAAGAAAAAATTGTATCGTCGCAATAAGAGTAAAATGTAAAAGCCAAAAAAGATAATAAGACACAAATGAACCTGTAAATATGCGTGAATCACTTTAGCCTAAACATTGCAGTTAACCGGAAATGCTATCACGGAGTATGTTTAGCGAAGTTACACCGTATAAATATGAAAAGAGCAAAAACAAAAAAAATACAAAAAAATGTCGAGGAAAAAAGGTGGAAAATAAATTACGTGTTTCTGGATGCAGGAACGTGTGCGTATAACACGATCGATTATGCATAAGTGTTTGCCTGTAAGTATCACGGTTCTAAGATGTTTAGATTCGCCAGCGACCAAAGTTTCTTTGTAGTTACCATATGTTATCCGAACAAATGTATAGACGGTTTATGAGAATAATAAATAAGATATTGATACTCCATACGTAGTCTTTGGTAGTGATTCTTGTCCTTTCTTCACTGTACATCTTGTTTTTCGAAATCTTGCCTCATTGTAAAAGATTACTTTTGTTTAAACAGATTTTTAAAATAATTTGAAATGAGTTCGAATTTCGAAGTAAAGAAAACTTTATTTGATAGTACGACAATGGACAATATTTTGCCCGCCATGTTGGTAAACCTGCAATCCGATTAAAATATTTCGATTATTATTAGCGAAAAATTATAACAACACGTTATTTTCCTCGTAAGCAAAGTAAATTTTGGTTATAAAGGTTTGCATAGAAATAATATAATTACGATTTAATTGTAATTTGTAGTTTTTGTGATAAAGACTGATTCCCAACATTGTTTTCACGGAATTCGCAAAGAAAGCCGATGAACAACAAACGATTACCACGGTGCGATGGTGCGAAGCGAAAAAACAGAAAAAGAGCATCGAGGAACGCGAGGAATTCACTTTCCCTGTGCCCCGATATTCCCAATGATTTTTCGTTTTTCTAATTTCTCCCTTCACGTGGAACTTCACTACTCAGACTGTGAACATACAAGCCATAGTGCGACATACATATGCATTTCCAGCTTTTCTCAAACGAATTAAATTTATGCTACTGTTGCTCTAAAGATAATTGAAAGAGCATCACGATCCACGTTCTTTTCAGACAATACATTGCCGTTAATGGGTTCTACACTAAGCTTTTACAGATATAAACGGTAAGTTTGCATATCATTCTAACATTAGTCCAATACTTAATTAGGTTAGAGCATCACTTCGCGCGCTATATAACCTGAGAACGTAACACATCTGCGATGCAGCACGAACATAACCGACAACGGCCGAACGAGTGTCGAACAAAGCCACGGAAACAAAGAGAATAAAATTTCGTATTTCGTAATTCACAATCACGAAATAAAGAATTACGAAATTACACTAATTAAGTTGTTAAAATCTTTTTAAAATGATAATATTATACAGATTCAGAATTGAATGATCGTATGTTATGTATATATATAGTAATATATATATATTAATCATATATATAATATATGATTACGGAAAAGTTATATAATACTATGATAATATGAATAATAATATGATAAAAAAAAGTCAAAATATAAATAATTCGGCATAATAATTTATCCGAATTGTTGGGTTATCTGAACGAATACATCGTAAACAAATTGATGCATCACTTATAAGAACTCTAATCACCTTCAGATGACTGTGTAGACTCGTAATGCACATCGTATGACGATTCCAATTAGTCACTCATTTACTATTTCACTTTCATTCGATATTTTTCACTCTCTGCTATGTTTGTGGAACAATCGAACTGTGCGTTACACATGTAATCTGTCAGTTAAGAGGGCACTACGGTACTTCACACTAACCTAACACAGTCAACTGGATTACGTTGAGCATAGTTCCTGCGAAGTATAGAAGTACTTCTACTTCGAATTTTATAAGCCATGAATAAAATTTTTCTGGCTTGAAAGAACACAAAGGCTAATATATAGACAGAAATGATGCACGATTTTCTCGACAGCAGGCGAAATGAGGGACCAATCAAATGAATGTTGAAAGAAACGTGATTTCGTATTACTATGAAGGGACAATCTTCCACTCAACTTGAAATTTTTCCAGGAAGGGAGCGCGAGGAGGAAGAAAAGGTATCGAATGTCGGATACAGTTCGCAGGTGCACCAGGATGACAGGTCTATAAAGGACGATATGGGCCAAGGAATCTTTGAAATCGGATCGGTTTTATGCTTGATGCACAGTTTGGATCTCCAAGCAGTCGATTTTCTGCGAATGGATTCCCGACGACGCGAATAATCGATTTTACCACTCGATTTGCGATCAGGGTTCTGGAGACTGATTGACCCCGTCCATCGTTCGCTCCTGGTGAAAAATAAATAGTAGCTTTCATACAGATGATATTTTTTCTAGTTTTCTTATTTTAATATTGAATTTCTTATAATATGCAAGCTATTTTTATAACATATTAACAGAACTGTATTGCAGGTTAGTGAAAATGAAATATCATTTTTTCAAAGTTACTAAGTATTGCCAACTATTATCTCCAACTTTTTAAGAATTAAAATTTGAATGTATCGAATACAAGGTTGAGGAAGATTTGAAGTGATGTCTTAGATGTTCATTCAATTACCCGCAGAAGTTTAAGTTATTTTTAGGTTAGTGCATAAGACATGTTTTGGTAAATAAAAATTATTCACAATACTAGATAATCTTTCTAACAATTACTTATCTTTATTGTTCCAGATTTATACAAATTATTAGCGTTAGATTTGGAAAATTGTTTAAATGTTACAACTATTTAAAGAAATGGAAATCATTGAAAAGAATGAGAATATGTTACCATGCAACAGGATTGTTTGCTACTTGTTCATTCATAGCGAGTTGTTTCTTTATTAATTTTACATGCATTTCACGTCACAAAAAATCCTACAGTGTATGTAATAATGCGCGATTTCGTTCTTGAATGATTTTGGCAACGCAGCCACGCAATATATTCTAAAAACAGTGACTGGTGTACGTGTTCTCCATTAGATCCAACAATACCAACCCTCGATGCAGAATGCGACGAAACCGAACAACTGAAATCGTTTTCCAAGCACCCAGCACCCGGCCGCTTGCTCGTGCGCGTTGATTCACCGGAGCAGCCACGACTTAGCTAAATAAAATCACTTTCGCGGCCGGCGATACTCGGGAATAATTACGAGTGGCGGCGGGTTACGCGCGTGCACCAGCCTGGCTGCCTGCTGGTACACGGTATCGATGAAATACCGATAATCGATTGCCCTCTACAAGGCATATATCCGGTAGGTCGATGGCTGAACACGCGCCTACCGTTCTATACCCAGCAATTTGTACCGCTGCTTGCGGCGGTGCACGCGGTTGCATTATAATGCTGCCGCGGCCCGCTTATTATTTACGAGCGGTGGCTGGCTGGCTCCAAGGGGTGGCAATATATCGACACCCCGCGGAGTTTCCTCCTTTGGCTACTGGTTACCATTCATAATGGAGTATAATGGCCCCCCCCTTCCGTCATTCCGTGGCCGAGCCACGGGGCCGACGGTCCGGGGGTTTAATCCACAGTCAGAGTGCAACAACCCCCCATCGCTGTGTACTAGGCAGCTTGTGTGGTTCTCTCTCTTTCTATTTCTATTCCTATTTTCCTTTCTCTTACTTGCTCTCTATTTATCTATATGTTTTCTGTATATCTGTGTGTATTTTTCTTAAGTCTGTGTATAATTTCTGTCTGTTCTGTACGTTCTCTATATATCTGTATATGTTTTTTACATATTTTCATATATCTTCTAGGTATTTGTATGTATTCCCTGTGTACGTTTCTCTGTCAGTTCGTCTACTCTGCTTCCACCAAGGTTTGGAATTTTAAGTCATACCAAAGAGGTTTGAAGGAAAATGGGGTTTGCACGGAAACTGATCCTATTGTAACGAAAGGGGAACGAGATCAGGGAGAGAATATAGTGATAAAG